GATGGCTTGGCAAAGATGATAACAGATCACTTACAATTAGAGCAGTGAAGACACAAAAGATAACACAAACAAAGGGTTTGGAAGCATAGTAAAAAATTGTATTTCTAAAGTGACTTGGAAAAGTATGAAAGATATCATCCAGGAATTAAATGTTTGGAATTTGTTTGGTAAGAAAACTTTGAAATGCATCCAATGTAGCAGTACAGTAGAGACATGTTTTAAAGAGTGAGAGATAAAATTTTGGTTTTTGAAATCTTGATAATAGCATGCATTTCTAGTAGCCTGTGCACAGCCACCTCCTATCCACTAAGAGACAATTGATTTTTTTTTTTTGAAGGCTATGGAGTGACTGAACACCAGCTAACTTCTTATGGTATAACAGAACATTTCAATCATATACAGTGGCCTTTTCGGAACAATACTAACTGAACATTGCAGATATAGTAAGTCTTAAAATGAGTTCCATCAAAAGTAGGCAACAGTCATTATGAAGATACTCAGTGCAGGTTCCAAATGGACATTTCATGATTTTAACATGATGCATCTCTAGTTGTTACCAGGCCAAGAGAGAGATCTTGTTCGGCAATGTGTATGATGAATTTTGTTCTGAAGATTGCGAATGTGAATCGTTTTCATCTTATCATCAACGAATATTTTTCAGTTATTTTGAGAAGGAACCCTCAGATTGTTTAAACATATTTGTAAGGCCTTCATTTGATGAACCTGGATTAAAAGACTCTAAAATTAACCGATCGATTCAGCGGCTACACTCAGTAGGGTGAGGCAAGTGTTTTTGTTTTTTTTTTGGCGACACATACCATCCAGGGGTGAGTCCATCATGCAGTAAATACACTCCTGCGGAAACTGCGAAGTATCCCTAGATATTGCATGCAAGGATATTGATGGATACTCTAAAGAGAAGCCCTTTCCAGATGCTGGATCACACCAGGACAATCGGCTGCAAAGAAAATATAATCAGCACTCACAAATGAAAAATCATTTGTGCATTAAAAAAATAAATAATAAACCATAGGTTACCCCCTTGACATTTCATCAGGGCTCCCCTGACAATCCCCGGTTCCGGTTATATGCACCTGGGTGGAAATAGGCCCTGGGTGAGTAAAGTGTCTTGCCCAGGAACACAACACATTGACCCAACCAGGTTGAAATCCCAGACCTCTTGACCCAGAGTCCAGTCCAGGGTATTGATCTTTGGGCTTCCACGCTTCCATAGAGTCATGTCACATCATATTATTTCTTTCAATTTGGTGACACTTTTAACAGTGATGGTCAATGTTATTGTGTTCACCTAGTCATTGTCATCACTACTGTCGACTAATTGCTAACATCTTCGTCACAATTACAATAAGCATTATATACTACCACTGGTACACAATTTCATAAACAGTCATAAACAGGGGGGAGGGGCTACACTACAATAGGACATCCTCGCCCCCCTTTCCCTATGGGAACAATTTTAAAAATTGCCAGGAAACCCTTGAATTAGCATTATATATTACTCTGACACCAATTTCAAAGGGACAGTCATGTAACAAGGGGGGAGGGGCTGCAATATGGTAGGACATCCTTACTTCCCCCATTTCAAAAATGGTAAAGGGTTGTGATACTGTA